CTGTCTGTCTGCGCGGGGCCCTTGCCCTGCACAAAAGGGGAATGTTGTCACTGCTCAGATGCACGAAGCATGTCTCGAGATCATGTTCGCGATTGATGCTGGCTTGGGCTCTTATGATAGTCGGCGGGCAGATCATACTGTCGAGCCCCTCAACCGACACAAAAGTCCAGTTTGTTGCTCCTTGGGGCCGGAGGGCACAGCCGGAGGTACCCGCTAGCCGCACGTCCCCAACTTCATGATCCTTGCTCAGCGAAGGTTGCGCAAGTCCATCATCCACGACTCGTTACATCAAGAAAACGCTTCTGTGTGTGCTGATCGTTTCATTGTTCGGACAAGGCTCATTAGTTGGGCTTGATGCGTTGATGTGTTCATATTTGCTCCATTCTCCTTTAACGATGCTGGATGCCGATGTTCAATGTTGGCCTCCTGGGTTCCCAGTGTTCGAGGTTGAAAACTACCACAGTCCCGAAGTTCACCACAGTGTTTGAATTGTGTTTGATATTGCATTGTGCCTGCAAACTAGAGCCTTATTTTTTCCAAAATCTTGACGGGCTTGTTATGCTGGCCTGGCGGGGGGGGGGGGTCAAGATTGCCAATCTTGCCCCTGCGCCGTTTGCTCACCGACTAGTTTTCCTTTTGGAGACCAAGATTGCAAGATTGCCCGGCAATCTTGGTCCAAAAGGTAAACTAGTCGGCGAGGCCAAGATTGCAAGACTGTTCGACAATCTTGGCCAAATAGCAGTTCTAGATTCGAGTTCTTGTACAGCAAGCTGTGGGTCTAGAGTCTAGAGGTTTTCCTGCTGCAGCAGTATGACATCGAGAAACTTGGGCTGGGCCCTTACTTGCGCACGGCAGGTCAAGCATTACCACGTTGCGTGTTTGTGACGGCAACAGGGAGACAGACGAAGAGTGATGAAGACCGGAAGAAGGGACAGTGACAGAGCCACTAAGACTCACAATTTTCCCAAAGTTCTTGACTCGGAACAGGGAAACTTCAGGAACCCTATGTCCCGAGAAGTCGCGGTTCCCACCATCCTCCTTACTGTTGTCATCCTCTTGCTTGAACGTTTGGTTGTTCTATCAACTTTGTGCGTTTCCTCTCTAGGCCCGGATCTGAAACGAGTGTCCTTAGCCAAATTCCCCGTTGAAGGCATGGGGCTGCTCATCAATACGAACCCAGTGCCGAATTTGGTGAGGATTTCTGAGAATTATGCTGCACGTCGGTACGTGCAGCATAGAAGCACGATGAAGCATCGCCGTGTAGTATGGAGCTACAGTGTACGCAGACCTTCACACAACTCCTAGGTAGGCCTCCGGTCGTGTCTGCATCTAGCGAAGGGGTCGTGACATGGTTTGACATTTGCATAGGTGTTGGTGCTGCTGCTGCTGATGCTGGGGCATTCCATTGCTATGCTGACTGATCGGTCATGCAAAAGTAATTCGAAGCGAAGTTCAAAGCCCGATCTTAATCCGACACTGCAATACTGTGGCATACTGTCCGCTAGCAATGTCAATTGTGGGCTTTTTGCATTGGCCTGTGAAGCCTTTCAAGCGGTTTGGTGACCCTTCCATATTCTGTCTCATGATGTAGACTCTTAAACCTTGAGACAATCTTTCAGAAAGGTATTTGACACACCTGCGCATCGTCTTTGTCGTGGTTCAGCTCTGCTGCACAGCTCCCAGCCCGACCTTGTCCTACGGGGCATTTCATCGGCATGGCTGTGGCTACTGCTGCGGTTTGCTCGACTTGAGGTGCAAGCGCCTTGGTATGGGAGCCTTGGGTGCATGTTGCATCATGTTGCAGAGTCTCCAGAAGACCGTGCAAAACTGATGAAATGAGTTCAGAGCCGAGATCCGATTCAAGATCGCTGGGATGCCAGAAGGCACGAAGATCCAGGCCAAGTGACCATACTGAGCCGCACTATCTGACAGCCAGAGTGTCGCCAGGTTCCAGCAGTGATGCAGATGGGCGTGGAAGTAAAGCCGGTCCCCTAAAACAGGCCATCGCTTGAGCGTCCGGCCCGGCCTCGGAGGCCAGCCGTGGAGCAATCGGTGCGAGAGTATGTGGGCGCCTAAGTTCTGGAAAGGGGCGGCGGTCTGTGTCCCTTGCCAGTAGTCGTCGCAAGTGTCGTCGCAAGCTGCTGGGTGTCAGCTTGTACTGCTGGCTACAAGGATGCAGCAGCACTCGTTTGTCGCGTGTCACAGGTCACAGTAGACCTTGTCAGCAGCTCTTTTCACGAAAGAGAGCTCTGTAGAGCTTGCGGGAGTTGTCGTTTACCANNCCCCCCCCCCCCCCCCCCACAAGGTGGCTGTGGCACTGTACAAGGTTTGGAGGGGGCTCCCCGCCCCTCCCTCAAGGACGGTCTGTCAACATGGCAATTGCAGCTGTTTGCAGCTTGTTCTTTGGCGTCTGTTTTGACTTCACATTCATTTACGCAGGTTCAGCCTGGCAGGATGTGCATCTGCTGTCAACGCAGGTTAGGGTGTCGACCTATCAAATTGAAGCACCACGGCACTTGCATCTGTTTTGCGTGACCGAGTGTGTGGACTTGGCAGGACGTCTTCAGAATTTGCGAGTTGTGTCGGACGAACGTGTTGCATGTCTGGCCGTTGGTTCGCATATGCAAGCGGGCACAGGAAGGAGTTGAAGAGCATTAAAGACCATAGTTATTCATGCGTTATCATTGGATAAAGTACTCCTTGCAAATGCTTCATCGGCGAAATTGAACATGTAAGAGCTTAGGGAGCGAGCAGCATCAATGCATCGCGACCCCAGATGCAGCAATTCATTGTGATTCTGTGTGCTCCTGGTTTCCTTGGACCGGAAGCCTGCAGCCACGATCAGACATCAGAAAAAAGAACCTGGCTGAAACGAGGCCGGACTTCTAACGAATGTGTGAAAAGTAGAGAATAGTAAAGATGCTTCTACAGGTAAATAGTTTGGAGGTGGACAACAGATTCTTTGATGCATCGCGCCCGATGGCGAAGCGATACCTTGGCAGTCGTGAATTCCTAGACTCCTGATCACATGAAGAAAGTCCGTCCAAAACCAAGACATGGACGCTATTCAATCCTCCTTCCCTCGCAGAGTCAGGATATGTCGAAGTGGTTTGAGCAGATGCAGCAGACGGACCCTCAGACTGCGAGAGTTGATGCTCGCAGATGATACCTCCTTATGCCAGGCAGGTCGTTGGCTGCATCGTCCTCGCTTGCGTTCATGTCCGCGCCTCGGGCCAGTGTTCACATCCACACAGAGGGAGGCGAGGTAGGGTGAGGTGAGTTCTATGAATTATGAATTTGTATGAGGAGTGCGTTTGAACAGTACATGCTTTCTCTGGGTCCATCAGGTACACTGGGGCTATGTCACCCCTTTGGCGCTTCAGTGCGCTACAGCACCGCTTCAGCTTCTGGAAGATGCTCGTCTTAAAAGGTCAAGCGCTCTAGCAATTGAGTTGTGTCCGGAATTTGTGCTAAGGCCCCGTTGGTGAAGATTCATTTGCTCTGCAAGCCTGCCACAGGATCCTTGAAGAGGCGGCCAGCACATTCTGATACTGTAAACGCGCAGCCGTTGACGACTCGATTGAACAGGCCATTTCCACCCCCGAGCCTTTTGCCGTTCCTTCCACCTACACCGGTGGGAAGCTGAAGAAGTCGGAAGAGCTACTGGCTCGTGCTCTGCTCTTTGCTCTGTACCCAGCTGCAGGAAGCGCCGAAGGAGAAGCCGAAGAAAGACAAGGTCAAGAAGAGCAAGTAACTCAAAAAGAGTTCGCCCGGCACCAACGCGAGTCCATGTCCATATGTCTCACGGTATTTCAGCAGGTGTGACGCCTGTGGAAGAAGCAAGCGGACCAAGCCATTTTATGCTATCCAATCCATTGCAATACGTGTGTCACTGCTCTTATTTCGCCACTGCTAACAAACACAACAACCGAGGTAATGTCGCATCCAAGAGACTCTCGGATCAAAAAACATGCAATGTAGTCATCACCAGCAGCATTCTGCACCCACCAGGTGCGAAAGGGTCACAACAATCATCAGCGGGCACACGTTGTAGTGGGAATCTATGTATGCCTTAACGTGCATTGTGCAAATCGCACACGGAGGTGGAAGCCGGAGGCCTTACACATTCTTGACTCAATAGGCAGCGACAGAGGTTGTAGCAGGACATCTACCAACGTGCAAGGCTTGACTTCGGTTTCATGCTGTGGCTCCGGATCAAACATATCACCGCAGCCGTTCGTAAACATTCCCTGACGTTTGCCTGAAGGCTGGATGTGCAGGTATAACACGAGTGAGATGAGTGTCGCAGTTCTGATGTCAGTCGGCAATGTGCAGGCATTTTGCAACATGACGAGCTCTACCTTTGCCGAGCTTGCCTTGCATTCTTTCTGCAGCCACACCAATACCAGCTAAGCCTGTTTCTTTTGCCACGTTGTGCCAAGGCTGTTTCTCTTGGCGCTTCCACCTTGCTGACCTGCGGCACGGCTGACATGAAGAACTACTCAGCATCAGTACAGTAGCCGTGTGCGTGAGTGTGTGTGTGTGTGTGTGTGCGCGGTTTCCTGCTGCATATGTTCGTGCTGTACTGCAACACGGTCAAAGCCCTGACGACTTGCGGCCATGCAACTCCTGGCAAAGGTGCGGACGAGGCGCTCCTTAACATGAAGACCCGGAAGGACAAGAGCAAGTGCATGTGCGAGCCGATGCGCTGCTGGGCAAGACGTGAGAATGACACAGGGTCATTTTGTGGTGGCCAATCAGGATGCACATGCTGCGGCAGCCGTGAAATCTGTGTTTGCGCACTCGCCAGCCCCAAGGAATGCACATGTGGATGCGGAAGAAGATGATGATGCCTTGCATGCCAGAAATGATGTGAAGGCCGCGATTCGCTTGATATAGTTTCACAGCGTCAAATTACGAGCATCTTCATTTCACCGCATATCGAGGCGCTCCATGCATGTTTTTTTTTTGCAAATTGCTGTAGTATGGCTTCAGGCAGCATGACCAACAGTCCTGGTCGAATGCCAAGAGGACTCAAACGACTCAAGGCGTGGCATCATTATCCAAGTTCACACTTCTGCTGATCGCTGCCTTGCAGGCTGGCCGGGTGCCGATTATCCGAGGCCGAAATGCTCATGCCTGATAGCGGGAAGATTCGGGGGAGCGGGCAGAAGATTCAGGCATGCACAAGTAGCACTGGTCGCAGCTTCGCTAGGGCCAACAAAGCCGCCTGCAAGAGCAGTCGGCTTCTCGGATTTACACTGCAGTCGAGGGTTTCAGGATGTTTCCGTGATGTCGGAACCAGGAGCGGAAAGATCTGCGGGCCGGCATTGGCCGCCTGCAGGCCTTCGACTTGCACTCGGCCGTTATCTTGAAGACTGGAATTTTCGAGGCGCTGCTCGCGACACTGCCTCGCCCAGAGCGGCGAAAGGCCGTCGAGTCGCTTTCACTGTCGCTGCGGACAGCTCTCCTCCGACAGCTCGAGGCGGAGGGCACTGTATTGTGCCAGTGTCTTGCAGTGCACTGATTGGAGGTTGCTCGATGGAGAGGGCATTCCGGCGAGATATTGCAAGCGCGAGACGACCGCCAGGAAACAGGCAGGGCACGTAGGGCATTCGGGCAGAGTATCCGCTCCGTTCGTTTCATCGGTTGCTCGGCTCGTCAGACGCTCACCAGCATGTGAGCCAGCGCATGTTGTGCACTCGGCCGACGGCTTGTGCATATGGGTCGCAAGTCGTCCTGCCTTGCATCTTGCCATTTAAGGCGACAGCCTCCGCACCAGAAGCCGAGAGGACTTCTTGAATTGCTGCAGCATGGAGTTTCTTGAAGTCTCAAAAGGATTGGCATGCAGCGCTCTTGCTGGAGCCGCAAGAGTAGTCGCTGAAGCAGTAAGAGTCCTCGTTATCGAGGAGCTGGAGCGGTGTCTTCAATTTCTGCGTCCAGCTCAGTGAACTGTCCAGCCTCCCCCGAGATAGCCTGAGTCACTTGTCATTTTGGGAGGGATCTTCGAAGTCTTGAAGCCTCAGGTTGGGAATGGCACCGGATATGTGGCACGGATCACCATCCGCGGCGTGTCTGTGAGCTCAAGGCACACAGCGGGTCTCCCCGTTGAATTTAAACGATGGCTTTGCGAGCTTGCATCACCCTGCCCTCAAGCGCGTACTTGCCATATGCACATACTGCTCTTCCGGACAGCATGTAGTGTCGAGTCAAGAGATGTGTAGTTCAGCCGCGCCAGGTGCCTCGAGACTTTCGAAAAGGCGGACAGCTTAAGGCCGGAGACCCGTGGCTTGCAGATGGCCCCGTATATGCCGTATGGCCCTACACCTTTGACGCAGTTTGTCGCCCGACTCTGAGACTGAGGCTCTTGCTCGCGGACTTGCGCTATGCATTGGAGGCCGAGGAACAGTCCCTGTGATTTGTCAGTGCCTGACATGCCTTTGCAGTCGTGCGGAGGGGCGCTGTCTTCACCTTATGAAACCTAAAGGCATGAACAGAACACATGGGCGATCACCACAAATTGCTAAAGTCGGGTGTCAAAGCCGTCTACCTCTGAAACCTCGGTTGCTGCCATTTGCTGCAGGGGGCGCACACTCAGCTGCTTTTCGCCCGAAATGTTTGGTGACTCTGTTCTCACGGAAGTCTTCGACTTACCGAAGGTAAGGAGGGTCGCTGCCCCTGCTCGTCTGTGCTCTCGGCAGTACATGTCGTGATCCTGTGGCAACTCTTTGATATCACATCAGTGTTCCCGATCTTGAATGTGCGGTTCATGTTTGTTATCCTTTACCGTTTCAAGTATACTAATATGGTCCTATGCTATGGACCAGCCTCGACAGCGACAGCCCGAGTTGCAAAGCCCGACGTCTGCTGAAGGCAGCAGCCATTTCAAAAGCTCGTTCAGGCAGTGCCGGATGGAGAAGAGTTCGACGAATTGCTTGCGCAGGCCTTCTCTGGAGGGTCAGGCAGGGCCTGAGTCAGAGCAGCAAGCGCATGCAAGCGCAATCAAGAGTAGATTTTTTGGCCGCCCATTCAGGTCGGAAGCTGAACCAGCCGTGCTTGCCGGCATTGGGGGATCTGCAGGCAGGACCGGGGGCCAGTCCGCTTTAGATCCGACGTGCGTCAGACACGATGAAAGCCAGCGGAGTTAGACTTGAATTTAGGGGGAGGGGGAGGTCAACAGTGAGCCTTTTAATTGGGCCTGAATACGCCTGTATCCCACGCATGTGTTCGCATGTCTCGAGCATTTCCCTCTTCTCTGCTATCGAATCATACATACAGTATGTTCTGTTAGCCTGGGCCTGTCCAGTGGAGATGGTTTGCTGTTAGAGAGTGTGTCGTGTCGGGCAACGATTCTTCTTTAGAGGGGTTTCTGTTGGAGCGGTCTTTTTGCTAGAAAGGACCTATCTGATTCCGATGTCCAAATGTCGGACTTGGCCGCGTCTGGTTTGCTTGGGTTGAGCTCGGCTTAGTTTGGATTGCCTTCTTAGCTCAGCCCTACATTCATACCAGAGTTTTTGTTGAACAGGGTATGACAGGTGTTTTCTGCTGGAGGGTTTCCGTTAGACGAAGGCCTTGCAAGTTCTATTTGAAGAAGCTTGGTATGGCTTGGTCGCACAAGGGTTCCTGTCAAAGAGGGTTTTCTGCTGGACAAGGCCTTCTGTTGGAAATATTGGAGAGCATTGTCTTTCAAAGAGAAGGTTTTCTTCAAGAGCAGGTTTTCTGGCTTTTGATGTTAGGCGCTTTAAGAAAAAGTTCAGCTTTGCTCGGTGTGGCTCTTCTGGACTTGGACCGGCCTGAATTAAATTGACCAGCAGTACTCCACGTCCTCGCAACCAAGCAGTCTCCCATGCAGCCCACGTCGCTCACATGCGTGCCCGCTCCCTGCGCATCACACGCCCTGCGTCCCACGTCCTGTGTTGCAATAGCATGCAATAGCGCATGCGCTGCCTCTGCACGTGACCGCTGGTGGGTGATCAGCTAGAAACATGACCACTGGTCAGTAAATCATACCGTTAGGCATCCATGAACAACAACGTCCTGCAAAAACTCGTTCAGCCTCAGAGCTCAATGCCGCTCCCGAGCCTTGAGAACAGCTTGCAACGCTCAAGCCGAGGCTTGTGCTTCCATTGCACATGGAATCGACGTGTTGCGATTTCGCACGGAGTTTCACGGTGCACATGGTACACGCCTTTCTCAAGGTTTAGTGTCGGAGTTTCGGGTTTCGGCGCGGTTCTTGTGCTTAAGCCCAGGGGGACTACAGTTTATAATGTAGAGCATTTGTGCTCAGTCAAAGTGACGACGAAAGCAGCTTGTAGCTTCGACTGCTAGGTGTTGATGATGTCGATCCATTGCTTCAACGAGCCTTGCTCAATTGAAGGATTTGGTCAATGTGTCCCACCTTCCCACAACTGTCGGTTTTCCTTTGGATTTCAATCCGGTCGGTCGAGAATCTGCCCGTCCTCCGAATTTGACGGTGGTGCATTTCAGTACACATGTTCAGAAGCGAATCGGAATCGGAAATGAAAGAAGTCTCGAACGTTGCACGCTTGGCCACTGGTTCGGAAGCAGTTTGAACAAGTGCGCGCTCGGGGATGCATGATCTCGAAGTTTCCGGGGAATCCAAAGCATCAGTGCACGAAGCGGGTTCCCCTAGCGTGCGAATCGGCTGCTTGATGGCTTAGACCACTGGCTCAACCTGACAAAATGGACACCCGGACGTAGGTGCATGGTTCGAGTTGATGCGAGCTGTCTCAGGCACAAGGGCCATCCTGGCGCTTCCATGTCAGAGTCGCATGCTCAGCGACTCGCTGCTCACGGGCTTCGTTTGTATTCTTTCAGAGAACGGCTCCATGAGCAGGCGGAACCATGCAGGTCCTCTATTTCGAACCTCCTTTCGAAGTGCAGATTGATATCCGTACAGCGAATGCACTGGAAGTCTCGTTGAAGGGAAGGCAGATGCCGGACACCGTTCGTTCGGCTTCGCCAAGTCGAAGCCCTTGGCCAAGGTTGATGCCCGCCGATGGGCAGGGCGGCTGCTGACATCAAGGACCCTCAAGTCCGTGGAGGAGGCTTTTTTCTGCGATCAGCAACAGCAGCACATGTGCGTGCCATCGCGTCGAACAACTTTGAGAGGCGCTGAAGCTTCGGCGCCAAGTGACCGAAGCAAGGAAGCTGGGCTGGGCCGCTGTCTGCAAACTGTGGGCGAGGTTCACGGAATCGTATTCGTATCAGCTTTGAGTTGCCAGCGGGTAGAGAGTCGAGAAGGTGCCGATCGCATCGTGGAGCTTTGCAGAGCCGCCAGACCCTGAAGAGAGGGTTCCCTCGGGGTTTGGCGAGTCTGATCTATGTCAATGTAATTGCGATGTTTGAGCGCACATGTTTCACCCAGGCTTACGTCAGCTTGATGCTCACAGAGATCAGCACATTCACAGAAAGCATGAAGTGCATCACCCAGTTGTTCACTCCTTTACAGGATTTGTTTGGAACAGGCCCTCTGGCGTTGTCTTGAAAGGTGCTAAAACTCCGTGCCACGGCGGCGCAGGCAGCAAGTACAATCGAAATGCCAACCGCCCTGCTGTTGCAGTCTCGAACAGATTTCTGCCAGGACAAAAGACTCCTGCGTTTAGAGAGCAAGATCAAAGCTTTGGTGCCACGCCGGTTACCCGAATACTCCTTGCAGCAAACAATGAGAGTCTGCCGCTTCCGGCTTGAGGCTTGGAGAAGCAATTGGAAGTGGCTGGCTTCTCAGTTTTGCAAAATAACTGACGGGCACATGCAGGGATTCGTGAATAGAATTTAGTCTTCCAAGCTCTGTGCATGTACCCTACCAGCCAAGATTTAAGTCTGGGAGGTTTGCCTCTTAGGATTGCTTCTGGCTGGCAGATCATCTTCAGCTTCCGTCTTGAGGATTCCCACACGGCTTGGGAAGACCCACTTAGGCAAGTAACTTTGAACGGGGCATAAACTGAATACTTCAAAATGGTAGGAAAGCCGACAGAGTGGCTTAAGAAATATCCACGCAAGCATTTTGGGAATCTAGGTTTCATACATTGACATTGGAAACATTTGGCAACCAAGTGGTTGGGTATTGAAGAATAGGCTCCGGACAGTACTGTTCCAGTACGGCTGCCCTGCCTAATTATGCTATCGTATTCGCTCCACATTCCTGTTCTCCAATTACAGATAGTCAGATAGTCTAAGGATCTCTGCTCCCTGCAAAAGTAAAGACTTCAGGCTACTGTGCTCGAAGTGAGCGGTCTCCTGCTTTTTTGCAGCGCGGAGGGGGTGTCGAACACAACAGTGAAAATTGTGTTGCTGCTGCTCAAGTCTAGTGCCTCGACCACACCGTGTAATCCGAGGCGAGGCGGGTTTGGCATACTGTAGTTGCTGCTCTTGCGGATACGCCGCTACCCTCAAGAGTCGATCCGGCAAGCTACGGCAAACGAAAAAGTGTGACGTACCGCCCGCACGGTCGTGAGCTTGTGTCGCAGGGGATCAAAATGCGGTACGCAGGTTTGGTCTTCTTAAGGCCTCAGCATTGCTTCTCTTTCTCCCTGCTACGCTTCTCTAACTTCTCAAGTTCCCAGGACGCATACTACAGGCCTCATTGCACTGACAAGTACACAAGTCCAATGAGGGGGGTTTGTGCATGGAAGTACAGCTCAGGCAAGGCTGACATGAGTTTGCTGCCCGATTCAAGACCTTGGGCGCCTGCAGTTGCTGGATGTGCCAAAGACAACTTGAAGCCAAGATGTGGTACTGAAAGTGCAGTCTGTTGTCCTGCCACTGCCCAGGTGGCCTGTGAGCGGCCCAAGCCTGGCCGTGAAAGCGCTCGAGCAATGAGAGCGAATTTTATTGAAGTCTGGCGCCACACTAGTAGTCACTAGTACTCTAGACGAAGGGCTGAAGCACTGTGTCCTAGATGGGGATTGTAGTCTGTCATCCGAGAAGTGGTGTGGCACTGCCTAGACGGAAGGCTGTCTGAACCTCTGAACCTCGAGCATAGAGGCATGGTGAAAGAGAGACTGGAGAGAAAGTGGATTCCTGCGACGACATGCTGTCGGACTGCGACAACATGATGTCAATGTCTCTTTGGCCCGTGATGTTTCGGTTTGTGTTTGAGTCGATGAACTGTGGAAAGCGTTTCAGCAGCAACAGCAGCAGACCGCGGACCGCCAAGCAACGCATTTCTGACTCTTTGCATTCTGGATAGTGGAAGCTGCAGGAGCTAAAGATGTAGGCCAATGGCATCCAACGGCCAGCCTAGCCGTTCTTTGGGAGAGCTATGGGCCAGAGAGTGCCTTAAGCTCTGATCGCTGAGATGTGCATCAACTCTCGGATGCCATGTTGCTGTTGTCCGTTGGTCATGTTTGATCACTCGCAAGGTCTTTCTTGGCCATCGTATGTTTAGCACACAGAGCATTATTTGCAAGCGGCTCATGGACAGCGCAGACCTCGGATGCTGCTGTAGTAGGCTGTAGCAATATCCGGTTCTCATCCTTTCAGTGAGGACAAGCTCAATCATGGCAGTGTGCAAGGGTTCCCAAGCTATGAGGAGGTGCAACCATGTGGAACCCAAGGCCAACGTGCCATCCGTTGCTTCACGCAGGCCAACGAGCTTCTCGAGCAGTTCCTGCGCTCCAACCCGAACGAGCTTGAGAAGCGGCAGACTTGCACTCAGCTGCGGCTGCCGCGGCCCTGCGGTCCTCCTGCCTCAGCGGCTCGGCGGCTGTCGACCGTTGTCGATCGTTGCTCCGAGGATCGGAACGAGCTTCCAGAGTCGGCGACGAGCTGAGAAATCCTTCCTCCCTTTGTACTTGTGCCGCCAACATGCCGAAAGGCCGATTTATGCATACGTTTTGGCCACCCCAGCTGGGAGGCTGGTCGAACATGACAAGTGGCCTTGCTCTTATCAGTATATGCAGGCAAAACAAGCCCCAAGCACTGCTGACAGCTCTCATGCATGCTCGCGAGTCCGACTCCCGGCATACTTTCACCCTCATGCCTGGAAGTCTGCGAGCGCGGGCGCAAGCAAGGCCAGCTGGCTTGACTGTCCTGCTGTACTTCCTCGGTCATTTGCTGGAGAAGTATAGCCGTGGTGATCCTGATGCGGCTTGGCCAATACAGTTGATTGCAAAGACCATGTCATGTCTCATGCCTGTTCTGTGGGCGGGAGGTGGGCTGGCAGAATCACATACAGTTATGCTACTTCATCTACGCAGTCTGGAAGTCTGGCTCTACTCAGTTAACACAGGGTGCCAAGGACTGAGTAGATGGGCTGAGCCTAATTAAGCATCTGAGCATTTCTGACTCTTAATTTAGCCACTCTGATTCAGACCTTACTCGTAGTTCCTTCAACACCCTCTCAGGCCACTTACCTTCTGAACATGCGCGAAATCTGGTTCCTGCCCTTTGTCAACCCTGACGGCTACGTTGCTAACAAGGCTCAAGCAAGAGTTGATCATGCATGAGGGAGCCACACCTGACCGGTGCGCCAGGGTTTACGCAACAAGGCACGTCGCGGTTTCAGCAACTGTGTGCTCGAAAATTGAGGCGTCTAGCTTGCTTGAGCCAGGTGATTCGGAAGAACCGGCGACCGACGTGCAGGTCATCGGTCGATGGCGGTGTCGACATTAACAGGACCAGCCATGCCACTCCAGTCGGACAGCCGAAGGCGACAAGGAAGCATCACAGCAGGAACTTTGCCGTGCATTGGTCCAGCAGCTTTGGTGGATGCAGCGAAGAGCATGGTGGATCGTCCCCGGCTTAGCGTTTGGAGGTGCTCGCGCTGCAAAGGGATGTCAGATTTAGAATTACTCTACGCCATGTTCGGTTTGGGTTTCAAGCTTCAGGGTCCTAGGGCTCGGCTTTTATTTAGCACGGACCTCGGTCTTGATGGGCTTCTTTCTGCCTTCAAATTCAGCAAACGGAACGGGAGAAGAGCTCGTCTACTGTTGGAGTTTTGTCGAACAGAGTGTAAAAACAGTCTATATGGCCCAGCCAAAGGCTTTTGTAGTTTCCAAGCAAAACAACACTTGCAGGAACTGTCTTCATTTCCTTGATTTGTCCAGACGGCCCACGGCAGATATCGCTCGTGAACTTGCAAACGATTCAAAACCGAGTTTGGTTGGTCGCATGAGCTGCCACAGTCCTTGTCCACCATACTGAAAACTGCCATGCCGCGGCAGCAGACGACTTCCAAAGTGCAGAGAAAAGACCAGGTTTGGGTCATAGAGATGGCGACCACTGCCAGTGTTGGTCGGGCGGTAAGCAACATAACATAATGCATCAAGACCGAAAATTAAGGACATGGTGTACTTCTGCACTGCGCATAGCTCCTCATTTTAGAGACTGGAACCCGGGATCCTGACGTGTGTTCGTAATGATCGTAAGAATGTGATATTTTCTGAGCAAACTGGAACGACGGCCTTCAAGCGGCCCAAAAGCGGCAGGGGTCTCAGGATCAATTCTTGCGCTTGCACCCTTCGAAGGAATGAGTCCTTGCTGAGTTAATTATTTCAAATACCTGTACCAGCCAATATGCGAGGCAACCTTTCTCCGAGCCTGAGACGCAAGCCTTCAAAAAAATCTGCGAGGACCGATAATGCCTTCAAACGTGGTCCAGATCCATGCTATCGATGCCTGAAGCAATGCATGCAATGCACACAGCCTTCCTGAACCTGTCTTGTGAGGAGAACGCGTTCAAGACAGCCATGAACTTCCATGCCTATGGAAGCATGCTGACACACCCGTGGGCACTCAGAAGCCAACACGTAGCGTGGCATTCTGCACACTGACATGCTGGTGAACATGCCTGCCGAGGTTCAACTGGGCAACCCAGGACCTCATGCCTGCAGAAGACAAGAAGGTGTACCAGGAGATCGCTCGGGTCTTCGGCTTCTTGAATGAGCTTGGAGCTTGTGCACAAGAACGGTCAATTTCTATTTCTATATCAACAGAACAGTATGTCAGTAGTACGTATCTCAAGCACCTTATTGGTGTGAAGGTTGCATCAAGATGGTCTCGCTGGCAGCAGCTTCCCCTCCTAAGCACGCCGTTCATAGCAGAGCAGCTGCGCCGCTCGACGACTCCGCACAAACGCGAAACACAAATCCGTGATGAAGGGGCCTCGACAAGGAGTGACACGTTCCGCAGCTTTTAGCAGCACCGTCCCAGTATCGGGGATTTGCGTTTGAAGCCTCAACGCTTCAAACTGACACTGTGGCTTCAAATGCAGTAACAGCAGTATCAGGCAGTGTGGGAGGCCTTTTTGCAAGTTTTTCATGCACGAGGGATTCAGGCAAGAGTAATTGACATGTTCCGATAAACATGGAATGGGTGGGCAGACTCATGTTGAGACATGCTCCATCATGCCCACTGGTGAATGCTTGAACAGCGACATACCCTGGTGAAGGAACTGAGGGCTGCCTTTCAAGCTGTGGTGACTCAGTACCCAGCTGCATTTATAATCATTTATACCTTTCTGCTTCTCTTGACCAAAACCCGTCTATGCGATTTATCGGGCTTCGACTCATGATACCAATGTAGCTCCAATGCAGTGGAAGATTCTGCAGTTACGCAGATGAGAAGTTCGGTACGTTGCATGAGACTGCCTGCCGTTGCGCTGATGTCTCTATAATTCCGGCGACTCTTGCTGAGGCATAATTGCCAGCTTCTCCTGCAAAAACTAAATAGTCAGCGGATGTAAGCAAATCTTCGAATTACGAACATCACAAGCTGTCGCCTATGGCAACTATAAGCATCCAAGAGATTTCTGAGAACTGTGGGCTGGCAAGCTGCATGTCGCGGTGGCCGTCGGCCCCCGTCGAAGCTGACAATGGTGTGAGCATTAGCGTCAAACTCTTGGCTTTCCAATCTTCTTCCCAGCCATGTCAATGTGACACGTGATGGTGCCTAATTGCACCGCATTGGCGGTCAATACATATCGATACGGTTGGTTGCAGCAGCTTACGCAGACATTGTCGCTCAGCTGCCAACAAGTTAAACTCAAGTGGGTGGTTGTCAACACAAGGGTTCCTTTTGGGTTTCCCGAACTATAGGTTGCCGTGTTCAGAGTAGAAATATATAGGGTTCCCCAAAGTCACACGGACGAAGACTTTGACAGTTACCCAAGTGTACATTCGGCATTCAGTGCCCATGCCTGGGCACATCATGTCACATCATCTCCGAATCTTGTCAATCATTCAGACATGTCCTTCAGTGGGGATATAAGCTCTGCGAGCGCAAGTCGTTCGAATGTCGGCGCAAATGGCTCGTCTCACTCAGGTTACAAGAAGTTCGGGCCCGCGATTAAGACCGTAGTGCAGACCCCAGAAGACCACAATACGATCAAACTGCTGCAAGCTTGCGAACGACTTGACCTCACCCAGGGCTACACCACTTCCGGGGAGTCCGACGATTGGATGTACTCAGCGAGGTATCATGACAGCGTCCCACACGCCTTTTTCGCACTTCCAATATTTCGTAGGCGGATCGTACAGCGGTGCAGCCGAGGCATATAATATCGATGTCTCCAGAGGTCCACTGCCACAACAGCCACGTGTTGCGAGGTTCACGTTTATCATGGGTCCCCAGATACCGCTGCTCAGGTGGGGCCTGAAAGTGGGGGTTTCTGGCCTCCATCATCTCAGATCGACGGCATTGATACCCGCAACTTCGACCGTGCTTTGTGAGCCAAGTTAAGCACAGGATCGTGCGAGCACGCCGTATGCCTCAGAGATGATGTCAAAAAGGTACGTGGTCGGCAAGGCTGGCATGGAGTTGGGCACTGAATGGGTACCGGCCACAGCCCACCCTTCTTGCAGCAACCTGCGAACGGCTTATACACGAAGCTTGCGACACAAAGGTTCAGCAGCCACTTCCGCCATCAGGCACTTGATAGCTTTTGCGCAGTGTTCGCAGTCGCTTCTAAACCTCCAAATTCGCCGCGCGAAGGTGCCGACCTTTCTGCTCTTGCAGGAGGCCCTCCACACCAGCTCCTAACGCTCAGGAGAACCCGTGAGTTGAGGCTAAGCTTTGCAGAGTTGCTGCCTACGTTGCATGTTTGACACAAAAGTGACAAACAGGTTTTGCCTAGCAGGTTTATGCCAAGACGTGAAAATGGGCGCTGCCAGCTCGGTGACTGCCAGCGACGGCCAGCAGTAGGTCTATCATGCCAACAATGCCCGCTAATGGCGTGCCCACAATGATAGATTGACAAGTGAGCCTAAGTGAGCGAGGAGTCATGCCAATGTATGACAAGGAGAGTGATGCAAAACTCGAAAGGAATCGACATCGCATGAACGGCGCCCATGTCGTCGAAGTAGACGGTCCGGTATCCAAAAGCTGTTGACAGCAAGCAACACTGTGAACTTCACGTGTTTCCCTATTTATTTACTGTCAGAACATGTCAAACAACCATTCCCGCCCAAGGCTTTGTTAGAACTTTTCAGACTTGGGGACCGCTCGTGGCTCATGGTGCATGTGCTGCCGCAAAATTCACCCGTCATCAGGATCACCAATCGTGGCCTGACCGGCAGCCATGGGAAGGAGCCGAGCATCCATGCTAAGCCAAGTCATATCACAAGATATCCTTGTGGCATGCGCAAACTGCTGAATCATGGGCATGGAATCACAACACTGGCCGCAGGTGCTGCGCATCGCTGTGCGCGGGGTCGTAACTGACGGTGCAGCTTCAGGCAAGATCGGCCTCGGGCTAATCTTGCGATGCGCATTTGCGCATCATTGTCTTTGTGGGATTTGTGGGTGATTCTGGCTGGGGCCGCATGGGTGGGTGGGAGTCTTGTCGGTCGGTTGGAGGAAACGAGGCTTTGCAGCCCAAGCCGGTGGTACGTCAGTAGTGGATCGCAGGAGGGCAGCTGAGCGAACAGGGGGACCTTTCTGTGCAGCTCAGCCGTACAGGCGGACCAGTAAGGTTCGTTTGACACATTCGTGCATCAAGTCAAATTAGATCAAACATGACTTGCAACCCAACGACGGCATGAGGCTACGTCAGTGTGGCTAGTCAACACTCTCGCCGCTTGAGTTTCCGGACGGGGCTAAGGCCATGGTGAAGAGAATCTGTCAGGGCATGTCCATTCGTTGATACAGCAGTTTTCCACGGGTTTGCTCGACCCAGGGAAGGCAGAAAGGCCGTCGCATGAAATGAAATGTCTTCGCGGTATCCGAGCATGCAAGTGAAGTTGTGCATGTGTCTCGCATCCTCTTGTCCCTCTCATCCCGTCTCACTGTCCTGGGACATGACATGTCCGACGTTGTTGTGTTCGCTGTCGTGGCAGAAGTTGGCAAGTTGGTGTTCATAATTTGCACTGTCTGCACAGCTGTACAGTTTCGGACCACTGGAACAGGTGATGCAGTCGGCATGCTCGTGTCAAGGGGTGCGGAGGACGTGTAGCAGTTAAAATTCGTTTTCTGTATCAGGCTGTAACTATAATCCATCTGCGAGGATGAGACACGCGAGATGTTAACGGCTGACCACGGGATCCTCGCCTGGAAGGCCGGCAGGGCCGGGGCCTGCAGCGCTTCGCCGTCTTTGGCAATTTTTGGAATGGGAGGCCAATGCCATTCCGAGCCGATCCTCCCAGGAGTTTCGCATGTACATTTCCAGGCCCGACCGATATCGATGGCTTTGTCCCTCTGCACAGCAGTCATGAAGCGTGCGATGAAGAATGTGCACACGACGAGCACAACGCTTGGCGTTTGACAGGTCCAGGGAGCCAGAGGGCCAAAGAAGATTGCAGACTTGCGTGGCGGAGGCAGCAACGTCACTACGAGCATGCTATACGAGGCTTCCTCTCACACTCGTGGCCTGTTGCAAGGGTGAAGCCGAAGTTCATTTTGGCCAGTGGAATTGCGAACGGATGATGCAAGCTACTCGTAGCCCTACTCTACCGCTCTACCGCATAACACTATCTCAGCCGTGGTTCCGTGATTTTGGAGCTTGCTGCCATATCTAAGGGTTCTGCTGCCCTGAACAATGGTGTAGGTACTGCGGCTTCACACAGTCTAGCAGGCATTGTACCAAAGGCAGCAGTGCAGCAGAGAAGGGACGAGGCAACACCGAACGCTGCCAAATGAAGTTACGCCCTGGAGTCACCACGGCACTGCGCATGCTCCACTGAGAGAACATGCACGGCTGGTGACATTTGCTGTGCGAGGCATCGGGGACATCAGCTTGTCAGTGCACTGAGCCTTCTCCTGAGGCATGCGGTCACATCGGTCACAAAAACATGTCAACGTGGTTCACTCATGCTCACTCTGAGGCTGGTAGAGTTTCCTGGCTCTCAGATCTCCAAGCAGTCGCTTGACAGATCAGCTGCGTCGCAGTGCATGGGACCTGATGGGTCACGCATTCAGGTATTGCAGGCTTTGCTGTGGAGTCTCATTAAATGCGTTACAATGCCAAAGTTGGGCTTCCGAAGGCTTACACTTCAGCCTCGGCAATCGCATCGGGTATACGGTATATAGTCTGGGAAATTATGAACATGCGGGTGGCACCGGCATCCTCATTCTTATCAAACGAGACCGTTGCGGTGCGATGCACAGGTCGTCTCGACACTTGTTTGCGTTGCCGGCTGACAGGGAGGCATCTGGCACTGTCCTCAGTGTTGTTGCTGCTTTTGTGTCTTTGCCCAGCTTCAGAGCTGAGGCGACAGCATGAGCTTGCTCTGTGCTGCTGCTACCTCTCCCGCTGTAGCGGATCCAAACTCGAAGCAAGTTTCTCCAGCCACTTGTCTGGTTTTATGTGCTGCCAGTGACGGTGCTACTTGCGAGGATGGCCTGCTCGCTTTGTTTCCTCAATGCTGCTGTAAACATTATATGGACACACTGTAACAAGGCTGCAGCCGGAGTTGGCACACTTGCACAGCGAGCGACACGGAGAGATCAGAAACAGAACAAAGGAAGAAGGAGACGAAACAGCAAAGATACACAGGCAGCCAGTGACAGAGATGTACTGTCCCGGAGGATACGCGCAAGAAGAAATTAATGAGAAGAAGAAGTACAGGCATGCTTAAAAGACCTGGGCATGACGAGGTCCCGGCCGGGAAGCAGCACGGTAGGCTAGAGTGGCAGTCTTGCCGACGGGAGAGCTATTCTTACAAATGTCGTCTAGTGAAGTCCACGCCAAAACCGTGCCAAGACACTTGCGAGACGCGCACGGAAGACTCTTATTTGTGGAAGCTTCTCGTGGCTTGCCCGGGTATTTCTGTAGCACAAAGGCCGTTGATCGTCTTGCATGCAGCATCTCAATCTCAAGACTAATCATGGCAAGTTGTGCTAGGTGGCAGCCACACCTTCATCAGCATCGGCAACGAGGATGGTCATGTGCAGCTGCAGAACATGCAGGTATGTGCAGATGTTAGTCTTTTTGCCGACCAAGAAATATGGCCCACGGTGGCCTTAGCACAAGACGTGGCGATGCCTTGAGCAGCATCATCTTGCTCCAGGAGTGTCTCAAGTAAAGCTCACAGGGCCGTTCGGCAGTGGCAGGGACATGCTGCGCCACGATTGGCCGGCTGCGGCGGTGTGCTTTCTGCAGATTTTCCAGCAGCGGTTTCCGCCTGCGGTCCCACTCTGTCGCCTCAGCCAGTGATGTAAGCAGAACTCCATCGCAGGGCCATGTCCTTCCCTGTTCAAGCGCCGCGCATTCTCAGACAAGGGATCCCCTGGCTCAACGTGCAAATTGGGGGTTCAACATGCACAGGTGGGTTTCCGAGATGCAAGCTTTGTGCTTGCTGCAAACAGCATACTGGTAAACAGTAAAGTAGTAAATTTTAAATAGTGAATGGTACAATATTTCTGTACTGAAATGTTACAATTGCAAAGTAGTAACTTTGAAAATCCTGGCTCAACCGGCACAGGTCGTTTTCCGAGATGCAAACGTCTGGGGTCGTGGTAGAATAGTATAATAGTAACTACAGTACTTTAGTAGTAAAATAATTAAGTCTTGGCTCAACCGGCACAGGCTGGGGTCGTGGTAGAAAAGTACAATAGTAAATAGAAAACCGTAACATAGTAAACTGTAAACAATACGTAGAAAAGTACAGTACTGAAATTAGTGAAACCAGTATCGTAGTGTCCCAACCGGCATAGGTGGGTTTCCGAGATGCAAACGGCTGGGGTCATGGTAGAATTGCAAAATAGTACATAGTAAAAATTTAAATAGTAGAAAAGTACAGTACTGAAATAGTAAAATAGTTAAGTCTTGGCTCAACCGGCACAGGTGGGTTTCCGAGATGCAAGCGGCTGGGGTCATGGTAAAATAGTATAGAGAAGTACAGTATTGAAATAGTAACATCGTATCATAGTTGCTCAACCGGCACAGGCGGGTTTCCGAGATGCAAACGGCTGGGGTCATGGTAGAGTAGTAGCTTCGCATGTCGGAAACCCAACCTTGCATGTCGAACGCTGTAGTCCCCTTGCTCAGACAATGCCGGAGAGACGCTGACCAGCTGGAACATGTTGAACAGCATGGACTTCCAACACCGTCCAACAAATCTCTTGCACTTTGTGAATACATTCGGTCCACATCCGCCATTCCTGCTCTGAAAGTAGCTTGCAATCTTGCAAATCCTTATTATTCCTCCGAATCAGGTCGCTGAATAAGTTCCACTGGAATCTGCGTCCATGCATGACGCGGTTTTCAACCACCCATGGATCTCTCATTCTCTTTGATCAGGATGCCGACGACGACAGCCTTCCCGACGGCCTCTCACACTTCAGAAAGGCTCGGGTCTCCCAGAGCGCAGGGAGGCCATGGGAGCCCCAAGCCTTGCTGCACAGGATCTGGCTCCGACTCGCAGGGTTTGGGGGAGACGGGGGAATTAGAACTGCAGGAGATGATCGACCGTCCACTTAATACCAGAAACCGCGCATGTACGAATGTACGAACGCGACGTTAATGATGCACACTGTTCACCCAAGCATCGTTGCTCATAGGCAGTCGGTGCACGATCTCAATTTGGCTGGCCTGGCATCTACACTCTCTCTGACTTCGATTCCTTCGCAAGGCCCAGAAGTCTTGATATTGAGATGGGTAAGGATTGGTGGCAAGGTGTGATCATCCTTTGCAGCTTGTTAGGCAAACCGAGCCTGGTGGATGAGGCATGATTGCGTTGCCCAGCGGTCTGTGATCAGATCAGCACTATCGAAAGCTATGCAATCTAAGCCTCTGGGCAGGACTCGGAATCGGCGACTTGGATACTCCTGGCCTTGGGTGCCACCCTTGTGGTCGGAGCCTGCGACAGTACAGGAGCAGAAACCTCTGCACGTACGGCTCTGAAATTCAGGCCATGTGTATTTGTATGGCTTTGCAGCCCTTTGTCACGCAGCGACGCGTTCCCTGGCTTCAAACAGCATGGCAGCGTGTTCTTGTGCATTTGAAGATCCGGTCGCACGAGCAAATACCATGCCAGACAAATGATCCTTGCAGTGTGCAAAGTTGTCAGGTTGCCAAGCGTGCACCATCTGCTGTCGACTATGAGCAAATCCCAAGTTTGCAGGCCTTCCCAGACTTGCTGTAAACGGCCGGATTTTTTTCTTCGAACAGTGGACATAGCATGAAGCGGATGTAGCCCGCACCCGAACAGGCTCATCGACCAGACGAGGACGGCTTGAGATAGATTGCCGACAGCCTGCAGGCTGCCCGACAAACACAGTTTTGTGAGGCATGCTTGCAGCAGCTGCGGAGCTCGAGCCATGCCAAAAGGCAAGGTCAAGTCGGAATGAGTAATGAGCGCAGGAGATATGCAGCGAACAGCCATGGCAAGCTCTGTGGATTCGGGCTTCTGGCCTTTGGCACCTGCATACAACTAAGCTTCGTGCCGCTGATAGGGAAGAAGCCACACTTCGTAGTACCAGTAGCCACATCTGTGATTCCACTGCCAGCGCTGGCAGACTTTGAAGCACCAAATCTCGGCTTGGCGCTTTCAGTCGTGATCGTTTTAGGTGGTGCAGCCACTGCACTCTCCTGGGTTGCCAGCCTGAAACCGCGAAAGACAGTTGATGGACAGCCTCGCTCCACTTCCCTCTATCGTGTCTTTCAGGCAAGGATGAGGGCAGGTGAGTTTGCCACATTATCCAAGCCTGAAGATGACGACGTGGAAAGCAAAGGTGCTTCTGAGCTGGGCACCGAGGAACTCGATGCGCTTGTCGATGCTTACGTGGAAGGGCTTGAAGATGATGACGGCCAGGATGTCTCCTTGAGCAAGGAAGGCAAAGAGTCCAAGTCGAACAAGTCCTAGTGGCTTCGTTCGGGATGGCAGGATGACGGATGACGCACGTCTTCTGCCTCTCTTTGGCTTAGCTTCCCGCTGGGATGCCACAGACTGAAATGATGGCGTTAACGGTCTCACACTGCGGCTCATGAAAACTGGACAGCACGCAAGACCCTCTATCCAGCCTTGGCGGACCTAGCTCTGATGTGTCTCCTTTGCATGGGACATCATTGTGAGGAGATCCTGACACATCCTGCAGCAGTTGCCAGCATGTCTTATGAGGTCTACACATGCTGCGCGTTTACATAAGCGGGTCCTTGCAGGACTCAGATGAAGCCGTCGGGAGAACCCAGGCACCCTCCGGCACTCTGTGCACTGAGTCGAGTCTGTTTCTGTAGAATTCAAATTATGGAGTTGACATGCAGGGGGGTCTTGTGAGCCTGCGAGCACTGGGAGACTAGCACGGGAATATCCAGCGCATTCCAGCACAATAGCGCGGCAGCAGTGGACAGAAGGGCTTTGTTTGCTGGGATTATACATATATATATATATATATATTTATTTATTTATTTATTTATTTATTTATCTATGCATGCGAAGACCGTCATCCCGTGCAACATTGCGACGTTCGTGTGCGTGCAGTTTAGGAAAGCCCGCAGGCATGTCTGCGGCTCTCGGACACTGTATGGATACGTAAAGCAGAGGGATTCGACAGTCTGCATGGACAGAGAGCAGGTTCTTGCAAGCAACACGCTATGACACAGGCCACTCTCGTTATGGATCCTCTTTCCGAGCCGTATCTTGCAAGCCCATTTCAAGTAAAGTCTCGCCATATTCACCTCTGGGAAACAACATTGAACATCCAAACAGTGCGACAGTTCAGAGTTCGGTAAATCAAACAAACCTTCCTCCTGCCTGGCAGCAAGGGATCGTAGAACTGAAGTGGGCGGACTCTGAAAGATAACAGTGATTGGCGGCCCTTCGGCACATCCCCTGCGATCCAACACCGCATTGATGCTGCTCCACCATCCATCCGGATTCTCGAGCTTTGCTGGCGCAGGTGTGATGCCATGAGCCGGCTTCCAGTTTCACTCGGGGCAGTCGTCCTCCACACGGTAGTCACATACGTGGCGTAACATGGCGTATGTGTTGCAAAGACGTCAAGGGTTCTTTGGAGTTTACTTGCAATCCTGCGTCACCGACTGAGCTGATGGAACGATGCACAGCAGGGTGGTGCATTTGCTCGAACCCCGCTTGCTGCCACTGTTCAACGCGACAGTGCCTTGGCTCAGGGAATTCAATTCAGGCCCCCTGCATCTGGCTTGCGCGCGCCGCGCAGCTGGAGGGGGAGGTGCATTCCTGCACATGTTGAAACTGATACCGGTACCCTCACATGCTTCGTCAAGGCGAGGGCGACCTGTAATATGGTCAACGAAAAGAGTGAGAAGGATGTCGGGGGCCTGTGGCATGTTCTCAAGACCTAGACAAGAACATGCCAGCGAGTACTATTGCAAAATAGACCCTGGAAAACGACTTGCTTGTATCACCAAGAGTCGCTTCTCAACTTGCACGACCGGCGTCCTTAGGCCGTTGCCCTCTCTGTTCCGAGCAAGGGCGGCGAACCCCCCGAGGTGTTGCTGCAAGCTGCATCTTTGAAGAGTGCCAGCACTGTAAAGCTGGACAGGTGAAGAAGGACAGCAAGAAAAAGAGCGTCAAGGAAAAGGAGGAGGACTCAACTTTATTGTGCTGAGTTGCTCCATGATGCAAAGCTCGCAAGCGAAGGAGCTGTCCGAAGAAGACCGCCAGAAGAAGGAGGAGCTCGAACTTCTCGTCCAGAGGGCACAGGACTGGACAAGCAGGTCACAACCAGTGGACTCACAGTGCGCCGGGCGGCAGAGTGTGTGAAATCAGCTGGCTCAGAGTTGCAAACAGAATACAAGGAAGCATTTAATTCAAGAACCAGTGCCGGAGTCAGAAGTGCAGTAGGATATACTCCAGACTCAGAAGGTGCAGTGCTTCAGAGAGCCACTAGCAATGCGTGGCTCATATCCGATCCAATGGTGCCGAGCCGTTACTGGCATTCCAGCTTGTGGCATCAATGCAGCGGTGTCTGCATTGGGTGAACATCCAAGTTGCCGCTTTGATCGAGTCAACAGCCGCTAGCCTCTTCTCAAGCCCGAGGAGAGTGCTTCCGCCAGATGGAATCTTTTTCAGAAGCTGGGCGCAGCTGCGACGATGGCAGGAGCGGTGCAACCTTGCAGCATTTGTGGACACTGTCACCTTCGGCAGAGCTCCTCAGACCTCAAGCTGTTTCAAGATTCTGCAATCCGCGCTGAGTGCAGGCACTACATGCATTTTGACTTGGGTGGCAGTGAACCGTTAGCATTTGTTGCCCTCCGCGGTTCCAAGGTCCTGGATGTCGACGAAGCTCGTGAGGTGTGACACAGCCTCTTGGCTTTGGCCCGTTTCAAGATCCATCCTTAAATCATGGTAGATTCCTTGCCAGTGCACTCTCTGGCAGGTTCACGCTATCAAGCAGATTAGTCCATCATTCACGTCTGTCCGATTGTCTCATGAAGGACCTGAAGCTGACGACCTACAATGTCTTGTCACCTCGCCTGGCATCGCCACAACAGTACCCCTCCTATGCACGCGAGGACACAGCGACACGTGAACGCATTCTAGTCTTGCCGAACGCACCGAGCGCGAACTGTGCAGGACTTAGCGAAAGATTCTCGGTGGCCGAAAATTCTAAGCCGGATGCAGAAGGCCGTCGACGACGACAGGATCATTGCATTGCAGGCGAGATCGACCTTGCTCTGCTCTTGCCTCGGGTTGTGAAATTAGAAGAGAAAAGCTCACACGCTATTCTTACTCTTTGTACTTTGTGTCGAGTGCAGGTAGAACACTTACTTGTGACTTTTTCTCCTAGATGTAACTTTCCAGCTTTTTGAGCCAAATGACTGAGTTGTAATTTTTTATGGCTCCAAAAACAGCGAAGCTCTGCAGAGGGCTGCAAAACATGCATCTTAGCTATAAATCTTTTGGGTGTCACCATGCCACTAACTTTGAAGGTGTTTGTGTATTAACATTTTCTGCACAACCAGAACCGTCACACAAAGTAGATTTGGGTTTTCGTCTTTACCAGGGTTCTCGCTGGATTCACTCCTTAGGGTTGTCGTCTTCGGTAGAAGTTTCCTGCTGGATTCACTCCCTAGGGTTTTCGTCTTGGGCAAAAGGTTCTCGCTGGATTCGGTCTTCTTTAAAAGTTTCCTGCTGAATTCACGCCAGAGAGTCTTCTGGTTTAGCCTCAAGCCACGCGCGCATGGTTGTGTGAATGAGCTCGTCCCGTCCTCTTACGCAAAGCCTGACTGCGGGGGTGGGGTAGGTGGGGCAGGTGGTGTAGTGATGGGTAGTGAGTAGAGGAGGTAGTGGGGGCAGGTGGGGTAGGTGTGGTGGCTGGCGATTCGAATGCAGGCCGGGATCTAAGATTGGTCTTTGGGTTGCAAGTTCATGGCCGAGTCTAGGTTGATTCCGAGTTGCCTTCTCTTGAGAGGGATGAGCGATTCCGCTTACAAGAGCGCCTTTGTTGGACAAGGGTGCTGAGACCATGTATTCTCAGATCCGCTCTTGCAGGAGGTCGACCTGGAATGGGCAGGGAACCTGCACGCTTTCTTTGCAGAGCGCGGATATGCGGTGGTGTTTGCTCAGTATGGTGCTCCTCAGTCGTTTGAAGGGTTGCCACATTTCCTTCCTACTTGCTTGAGATGCCTCTGGTCTGAGACGTGGCATGTCAGGCAAGCAAATGAATGGCCACTGGGCTGCAGCACGAATAAGAGAGGAGCCATCTTTGCTTGCTGTGAATGAGCCTGCAAGAGTTGGCTGGTGCCACAAGTGCACTAAGTCTGATTACAAGACCTTGGGCGACAGGAGTAATTAGTGCACCGTCATCACCACCCAAGGTTACATGGGCGTGATGATGGCGTGGCCTACAAAAGTTTTCCAGGCTCTCGGACACGCGTAAGCGTTTGACATCGTTTCGGACGGGCAGCTGGGGTGAGAGCAGCACTTGTCAGCGAGAAGTTGCCAAGAGCATGTATGTCGAAGATACAGACCCACACCCTTCACTGACACTACCACGGACTCTGTGTGGTTGGGACTGGTTGTGAAGGTACACTTCCAACAGACCTTAGATGCGAAAGATGTGAAATGATGTAAATATTTGTAGCCAGACCATGGCCTGTGTCCCCCGGGGGCTCGCATCATCGAGCCACATCAACCCTCTCTTAGAATGCTATTGGATATTTTTGACAATCGAGTCACGATCAGGTTATATCAGGTTCTGACTGAATATCTGGAACATGTCGACCCCCGGGCCCCTTGGCAGGTCTTGGACGTGGAGCTCTGCAAGCTAACTGACACAGCTCCGAAGCGAGTGTGGCCAAGATCCGAAGCTGGTCCTCTTGCTCGTTTCGGATACCTCACCTACCAGGGCTTGACGGACCCTCATTATTTTGATTTATGAAGGCAACACGGTCGCATACTGCGGCCCCTGGCTTGAACCGCTGCAGGACATATTGGGATGCAGACCTCCAGAATTCGAAACAGAGGGAGGGGAGTGGAAGCTCGCACAGGGTCGCGGCTCGACTCACTTGAGTGCGGATAATTAGATGATGCGTGGGGCTGTGGTTTCTTTGAGTTTGGGCTCTGACCAACGGGGTTTGTTGATGCATCCACTTGTCGTATCTTGGCGACGCCAGGCATGAACGAGGCTATCCTGGTCAGGCTAAGACCCAGAGCGACATCTTGTGATTTCTGCGTTGCCACGTATCACATGCCGTGTTTGTTTGGCAACTTGCTTGCATGAGGGCGCGATTGATCACGAGCTTTCAAGCCAAGAAGAAGAGAACCCCGGCTGTACCGTGAGCGCCAGGCACGACGGAGAAGGTTCGAGCGGTGAACATCCACAGCCAGCTTCTGCTGAACAGGTTCATACAGTCATGCAGTTGACTGTTCCATGCAAGTCTTTGCACATTGTCACTTGATGTCACTCGTCGGTTGAAAGTAGACCTCGGCAGACAAGGCTGAAGCGGTTTGCAGCCGCTGATGTCAAGAAAGGCCCGGTACAGCACAACCTCAGCTGCATAGCAAGATATAACAAGAGTGCATGCATGCCTGTGTGCGCCTCATGTCTTTCCGGATCTGTGAAGATGGTAGGTTTCCAAGAGGCACCAGTTGCATTGATGGGCGACTTCAACATCAAGCCAGGCATGAGTCAGGGTGAGTCTGTCGAACCAACATTTTGAGTTCGATGCCGGGTGGGAGTTGCGGCACTTCAACATGCCCAGCCGGTGTTTAGTCTTCTCAGGCACATCTTCCTATCATTTGATCGAGAGTGGCGGCTCCATAGCTACCGTCTCGAAGCAGGCACATCCAGCATCAAAACTACGTGGACTTAATGCGTTATTGAAGTCTCTCCGCCCACTCACTTTGCGTTTAGTTCCCAGGGTTGGGTCAGGGTGGGCGGGGCGTCAGTGCTGGGGGTCGGGGTCGAGAGGTAAAGCAGCATGCAGGGCAGCAAGCATGAAGTTCATGGACTCGAACAACTGCCCATTGCCGAGTTCCCCGATGGCCTCAGAAGTGCCTACAAGGACTGCGTGGGCGATTCTTTGGGGACCGACAAACTCCGGCGCCGCCGTGGTGTGAAGGTTACCTAAGGTGACCGAGGTCCGAGAGCACTGTGTCCTGATTTATATCTGGTGTTGGCGAAGATTGGTTTGTTGTGGCCAACGACTCCCGACAGTAGCTTACAGTGCTGGCAATGCTTGGGTCAGGACTTTCATGGACAAGAGCCAATGTTTACAAATTATGCGATGTCCGCAATGAGCAAGGAGGCTTTCGTTGATACCCTTGAACCCCGCCACGCATGAATCCGAGCTGTGAACAGTTCCCGTGCTGATCTCACAGCTCCGAGGATTACATTTGGTTCAGTCCCGGGCGCCTCAAAGTGGTTGCGTGTGACTGGGCTGTTTTGGGCTGCACTTGCACTGTGAGTGCAATTTGCCACATCGCCCTAGTGAGGCCAGCAGCTGCCAAAGGAGAAAGAGAACGTCAACGGGCCGTTCCCAAACGCAGAAGAACCATCCGATCACCTCCCACTGCATGCAACGCTTCGGATGTCGGAATGACACGCTGCTGCATTGAATATTCGGACTTGGATCTGGAGAGTTCCTGATCGATGCCGAGGATGCGGGCCTCACCGGATCAACCCAGATGTGAAGAGCCGATTGTGTGCGGGAAGCCTTGGCCGCCTTGGCTCCTGATGTTATCAGAGCTCTCTATCACACCTGGCATCGTCTTGCCGCTGTGCCTACAGCCCGCGCCATCAAAACAGTTTGCATCATGCACGCTGGAAGCCTTCTCAGCTGACCCAAGAAGGTAGACTGCAACATGAATCAGCAACCTGCATGCGCTTTCCTCGGTTCTGCGCTGTTGCGAAACGCTGCAGTGGGGTAGACCGGTAGACAGTGCAAGAGCGGTAGAAACGTCACTTTCCAAGCAGGACTCCGACCAGGGAGTGGCCAAAATGGCCATGGAGGCACGGACTGTCCCTGTGCTGCACGCGAGCAGGCATTGCTTAGTGGGCTTAGTGGTTGTGCAGCATTTCGGTTCACGGACCACTCTGGCCACCTCTTGGCATAACAGTCCCACCGCTTGCACCAAGATTGCGAAAGGAGTGCCCTTGTATCGAGCTGTGCATATCATTCACCTGTAAGATGACGACTTTTTGCAGGCGATGGTGAAGGAGCTCAAGGAGTCCACAAGCTCGATGACATCTGCGCAAGCCTAAGAAGCACTGCAGGTCTATCACACTTTGTCGCTACTGTTTTGCTCAAAGGTTCCGAAGCCGTTGAAGTTCCTGCGACCTCACTACTCCACCCTGACGGAGCACTATGCCAAGGTCAATGGCCAGAACCGCCTAAGGGCCTAATTTTCCCAAGGTCTTGCGAAAGGGCTGTTTCGGAGAAACGCCAGGCATCATAGTTGCTGAGTTGTTTCAAGGCATTCAGCTGACTACTCAACTGCTGCTGCTGCTTCTTCACCTAAATGCATCTGAGTGCTGTCATTGGTCAAACGGCTTGCCCTGTAAGCTCGACCCAAGCGATGATTGCTGCGAAGGGCCTAAATGGCCGTGCGCATCTGGGATTACGGGCCCGCAACCGCGTAACTGTTCAACCACGTAGAAGCTCACGTCAGTCCCTCAAGGGTTTAGAAGCGTGCTAGCGTCCTCAACCCCGGGGTTTCGAGGCTGAGACAGGATCCTGAGGAATCTGAGATTCAACTTTTCGTTTAGCGAGCCGGCCGCTCGCTGTGTCGCAAGCGCCACTGGCTGAATACTCGCCGTAGGGCAGGATAGGGCAGGTGCCGGTGGGTTGCGATGAGTTCTTTTAGAAATCTGCTGGAGATCACGGCCTCGTGGCACTCGTAAATTTACAAAGACTTCGACATTGATCCCAGCTTCCGTTCATTGAATTCGGAACAAGCTTGAACCGCTGGTAAATGCTCAGAACCTCAGTCTCAGGACTTCGAGCTTGGCGCTGCTGGTAGGTTCAGCCAGGTTCTGCTTGAATTTCCTTTCGAAGATCATGAATACTGACAAATCGGGTGGGGCTGCCCGGCTTTGTCCCAGCCCTTCAGACCAAGCCTTCGAGCCTTTGGGCACAGGCCTCAGTCAAAAAAAGCGAGACTCCCCGTGACGCTCTCACCACTGACGGTGTTGACGAACCTAGATGATGCCGTATGGTGCAAAGAGCAATCAGTTCAATGTGAAGCACAGGCAACTGCAATGGGCTGGGCCCAGCCAGCAGAACCGGAAGCGGGGCATCGCTGACGAAAAGCGCCTTTGTTGATGTTTGGCGAGAGTGTTCGGCCTGCACGAGGAGGCAGACGAAAGCACACACAAAAGACGGAACGGATCTGCAAAAACCCACGAAGAATTCGCTCCAGCCTCGCTGCCCTTTGCTTTGGCTTTCGTTGGAGCTGTTTTCAGCTCCACTGGCGACGTTCGTAAGGCTGCTCCGTGTGTGCGAGAACAGTGAAAAACAGGAAAGCTTCGTCGCCGGAGCGGTTTAGGGCCACCGTCGAGCCTCGATTTGGATGCTCGAAGGGTGGATCCCCTCGAACTAGCATCTCCTTGTAGCCGTGACACGGAACTGGCCTCCAGCAGGCGTGGACTGCCTTCAAACTGACAACTGTGCAAGACCCAATCTGGCAGTGGATCAAGGCTGTTGCCTGCAGGAGAGCGTGGCAAAGGACTTTCTTCCGGTGCGTTGAAATCCCCGCAGACCCTGCAATCCATCGGGGTCATTACAACATGCAGCTTAACTGTCGTTTCTTGGGTCCCAGGTGTAGCATGAAGGCTTGATCCAAAGCAGACAGCTCTCCTTTGCCCAACAGATGCCTGCGAACGACTTGAAGCGATTCTTCGCTGACGTCCTGTCCATCCTATCAACCACTATGCAAAAGGAAGGGCAGGACTCTCAGCTGCGCCTCATGCGGCGTGAAAGACTTCGGTCAGTTCGCGGACTCAGGTCCAGACAGGCTTTGAAATACCGGCTGGAGGGAACGAAGGAAGGCCTCACCAGTTGGGGTCCCACCCTCGGTGACTTCGAGCGTAGTGCGCACATGAAACGCGATGGGCCGTCGATCGGCCCTCGTAGTTGGATCTCTTGATGTCGTGCTGAGGTCATGAATACATACGAAACATTGCCGGTGAGATCGGGGAGGCTGGGCCGGGCGTGCTAGGTTCTCTTAAGAACAGAGCCTTGTCACCGCTTCCGACTTCGGCTGTATGATGTGAAATGTAAATGCTTGCGATTTCGGTATAACAGAAGCGTTTCCGTCAGCCCATCGCAAGGAGTTCAAGGAGCGCACCGACAAAGGCACTGACGTGGGCGACCTTTTAGCACTCGTTGAGGCAGCGTCGTCGATCCACCCTTCGGCCTTCGTGATCTCGTCTCGAAGAACTCTCGATACTCCGATGATTCGCGCATTTGGAAGGAAATCGTGCCCTTCAACATGAAGCACAATGCAGAAGTGGTGCTTCGCTCGGAGCAAGTCACCTTGGTGTGGAGGTTAGCCGAGCTCGAGTCTTCGTTTCGCTGCGCGGTGACATGAGCTTGCAGACTCTCTGCCGAGGATGCTGTTGATCTTCTTTGCGAAGTTGACCAAGTGCAGACGTCATTCCTGCATGTTGCGATAGAGGGCAGAACTCTCACGGAGCCTGTGCATGCCCATGCCCCTGTGATGTTTGACGGGATTCGGTAAATTTCTGTGTCAAGGGTTCTAGCTGCAGCTAGAATTAGTACAATTCGTGTCTATGTCAATGGTCACGTCGACGCACGACAAAGCAGTTGTGATCAGTTGAGCTTTCCGAAGAGGTGCAACGTATCCGTATCAGACGACAGATTTGCACCAGTCAGTCGCTACCTTGTCATAGCGTTCATTCCTGATCTCGGCTAGAACATGTCTGCTAAAGGTGAGCTAAACCTGGGGACCACTGTTGAAGGGTTGTTTGCTTCGTGGACGAAGGATCGAAAAGCTTTGCGAAGAGCCGTCCTTTATCAGAGTCCGGGGCTTAAGCTTCTACCGTCCTCTGTGCTGACTTGCCGTTCTCTTATTGTATGCAGCGACGGAAGGGGCCACATCTGAGTTCCTGTTAACCTGAAGTTTCACTTTGCTCAGAAAGATAACCACAGCTGCATTGGACCTGCATGACGAGTCTTCCGGCATTTTCCGAGGTGTGCCTGTACCTACAGGGCCTTGCCAACTTTGCGGCAACTCAGGTGGCGGAAACATGACATGCTTTGCCAGGCTTTGCGTCGCCTATGTATTTTTTGTTAAGCACAGAACTGCCTGTTGTTCTTGCTTTCTGTTGGGACGAGTCGAACTGCGAACACATGGACAAAGCAGGCCGACAAGGTAATGTACTTGAATGTCTGCATGAACCTCTACTTGAAGTACAAGGCGGCTGAGTCTGAACTGTCGACCTTGCGAATGATGCCTTGACCTCAGGAGTACGTGGGGGCGCTTCGAATCGCCTTGAAGCTCAACGACGCGAAAGCTGTCGCTGCTGTTTTCGGTGCTTGCGAAGCTCTTGCCTCAGGGGAAGCTTCGTGACAGGAAGGTGAAGTGGCAGCCGTTCCATCGAAGTGCTGCATCACGTACATGAGCTCACAACGGCTCGACAGCACTCAGCCTGGAGACAGACATGACAGGGGTAGGGATCGAACAATAACATGGATCAACAACACACACACACACACACACACAAAACCATCAGTTTAAGCTCCACGCATAAGAGCTAAGTACAGGGCTTGGCTTCTGAGCTGTGCTGTTGGCTTGCGGCTTCTCGGTTTTGTGGCTTTCTGGCGTTTTGGCTTCCTCCGTACGGCCGTGAGGTTACGGCACTAGTATTCGTTTATCTATTCAGGCTCGCCCTAGTGCTTCCACAGTACAAGAGCATATAGCTACCAACCCTGCTCGGAGTACAAGTACTACTACTACTACTAC